GTGGCCCTAAAGAAAAAACCTCCCAAAAAAAAAAAAAAAAAAAACCTCCAAAGAGGAGGAAGTTGAACAACAAAAGATTGATCAATCTTTTTCCTATATAAGCTTGGACTCTCACGTAGTCGACTGCAGTTCGCATCCTGGACCCAGTGGCTTAAACTCACACCAGGTGTGTGTGCGTGCGTGTCCAAGATCCTGAGAGGAAAACGGAGGAGAAGGAATTGTGGTGTGGCCATCCCCCCTGGGGGATGATTTCTCATTTTCTGTCCCTCTGTCTCTCTCTGTCTTTCTGGCGAGAGCACATGCCCTATAGCAAAAACCTCTAAAACAAAAACAAAAAAACAGCGTTTTAAGAAATCAAACACCTATAAAGATATGAGTCATACTTGAGCTTTGGGGATAATAGTAAATGAATTTTTTAAAAACACACCTTTCATAACTTTCAAACCTACTGAAAACTTTGCTCTAAAATCTTCATAGTTTTTAGCCTTAAGACAAAGAATTCTCAGCAAGTATCTTAATTATATTCCTTACTGGTTCTAATCTTCACACTTGTCAGAAATTAGACAGCAGGAAAGTATAAGAGATAGGACAACTGCTGACTTGTGAAAATTAATCTTTAAAAAATTTTTTCATTTCACATTTATTTTGCTCCCATAAATCCATCTTGGCCAATTTTTCATCCTATCCAAATGTACTTTGTAAAGTAATCCATGAGTCTGTTTCCATGGGATGGCATCACATAACTAAATGGATACATAAGAGGGTACTTCACAACATTCATGGAAAATGGAATTAGAGTTTATTCTGGTATGAAATAATTTTTAAACCTATGCATAGTTTTTTTCATCATATGCATTTTCCATGAATTTTTGGAAGACCTCTCATATGTTGGGTTGTCTGAAAAGAAAAACTATGTCATGGCTTTTGCAATGACCTAATACTGTTTGCAAATAATTGACCACAGTAATAAAGAAAGGACTATAAATTCTGAGGGCTTCAGGAGATGCTGAAGATGCTACAGCTGATGTCTTTCCCCAACTCTGTGAAGTTAGCAGAAGTAACCCCAGAATTTCTTTTTAAGAACTAGGGAAGATTGATATGTGGTTAATGATTTGACAAACTTCCCTCCTGAACAAAAACTGGCACACTGCCCTAGTGATGCCCCCCAACATCTATTATGAAGAGCCTTCTCCTCTGGCTTTATATCTGTGATTTTCTGACATGCATGAATTCAGGGTCCCTAATCAGTGGAATCATATACTCTATTTCAGTCACCAAGCAGCAAGTTCCCTCAGTATATCAGTTATTATTTGTACATCTCCCAGGTCCTCTGGGATCCACGTCCTCAGTATAGTCATCTGATCTGAAGAGCTTTCCAGCCCATCTGGGAAGACCAAACACATGTGTAAGTCATTGTATCAACTCATGTTCAGACGACTAGAGCAAGAGCAGTAACCTAACTCAGTATGAATTGAAAACTAAGCTCTGATGAGGTGTCTGTTACATCCTTCCCTTTTTGGTACTTCATAATCTTCCATCAACCCTTTAATATAGTAACACCTCCCATTCACTAACTACATATATATCTATTTCCTTGATGTGCCCAATTGCTCCTCAAAGACAAGGGCCAACGTTGCTTCATTTTTTGGGCCTTGAAAACCCAATCTAGCATCTGATGCCTAGTCCATAGTCAATAAACAACTGTAGAATCAAGTTCAAATAATATATATTGGGAGGAATCCATTATAGAAGTACAGAATAAGAAAAAAAAAAAAGACTTAAAACATCTTTTTATAAAACAAAGGCAATTAGAGAGTGGATAGGGTATATGCCGCAAAATCTCTAGCATAAGCTGCTTATACAGAATAAATTAGAGCACTATTAAAACTTTTAATATCAAGGTTCCTGCTAGTGACAACCACATCCATCAATTGGACTACCCGCCTCCAGGCACCATGCCAGTTGGCGAGCAGTCTGTTGGGGAGGAAGCAGACAGCCACACACTTTTGTCAAGATAGTTTATGGTGACTTTTTCTAATCATTATAATAATATCCCAAAAAGCCCAAGAGATCAAAAATATATTTTAATCAAAATATTCTACCATCTGCTTCTCCTTCATTTGGCAGGATTTTTCTGATATGATATTAAAGAGTAACAGAGTAAAGACAATCCTCATAAAGTTATGATCACATTTCTGCAAAGAATACTTTAAGGAACCCCCTGCCCCAACTCAAATGTTTCCCTGATAGAAGCTATTCCCTCACTTATTTTGTGGATTCACCCAAGCTACACAAGCACCATCATAAAAAGATGCAATTCCTCTAAATCATCTGAAAACTCTGTCATAAATCATAATTAGCCACTCTTGAACATAATGGACAGTTGTTAAGGTTTTATTTTGTTTGTTAGGTATTTGGCTATGAGAAAATAGAATATGCCAGCTTAACCCTCTGTGCACATGGTCGAGTACACGACATCAGCTTCATGTTCTCATACAATTTCGTCTACAGGTAGCCATTTACAATATACACATCAAAATGCGGAACCACAAAGGCTCTTAAAAACATGCCCAACTGCAAGGCACTACTTCGTTATAACCCTTCCTGCAATCTGAGCAATGGTGAAACTCCAATAGGCTTGGTAAGAGATTCCACCACTAAGCTGGCTTTGCTACTAATTCTGGGTCCATTCATTCCATCTGTGATAAACCCTGTTGAATTCTGTCTTATTCAACTCTTACCCTCTATGGGACCCTGCTCGATGGTGAAGCCAAAGCAGCAGTGATTGGGAAGCATGGCAGAGTGGCTCTCTGTCACACTGGATACAGGTAAACGGGATCTGCCAAGCACAAAACTCACCAGAGCCTGATTTGACATGAGTTAATTTTTTTCATGTTCAGTTCAATCTTCATGAAGAATCCTTGGCTCAGCCATAGCGGCACATAGGTAATGCCACTGCTTGGGAGGCTAGAAGCTGCCTGGAAGGCCCAGGTTCTTTTCCTGGACCACCGTGATGTGGCTGCACACACCTGCAATCCTAGCTAACTGAAAAGTTAGGAAGACCCCATCAAAAATGCCTATCTCTTGTCTTTACCCCTTTTCCTCTTTCTCTCATAAACAAATAATAAAAGAAATCATAAAATAAATAAATAATAAAATAAAAACATTCCCAAGCATAGAGAACCTCGAAATCAAATCTTACATGGCCTATGCATTCACACTCAGCTTGGAATGGGACATATTCCTTTTCTTTGCTGTACATTCCAACTGCTCGATGTGCAGAAACATCGTGATTATCATCAAACTGCAGATCAGCGAGGCTGTCAAAAAGTTTGGCAAGGTGTCGTGTGACCTAAAAGAAGGGCATTAAAAAAGGTAAGAGTATTTCCTACCCTAGATATATTCTGGTAATATGGAGATGACGCTATATGAAATTGCATAACTTTCTTTGCAGAGTTACAAAGTTGTTTCAAAATGCTTTTTCTTCAGAGTCACTTCTAAAACTCCAGAGCTTGAAATGACCTTGATGGAGAAGTAGCCAGGCACTCTGGTTACATCATCACATGGTGAGTGATGAATGCATACCATGCAAAGTGGCCTATTTGCTATTTAAAGATTGGAGACTTATTGACTTCTTTAACTGGGCCATATTCCTGTGGACAACCATCCTGCTGGGGCTTTTGTGGTCAAGCTTTCAAAATTCAGATTTATATTATTAGCCTATACTATTTTGTAAATGCTGCTAAAAAATTTGAAAAATGGGGCCAGCAGGTGGTGTGGTGGTTAAGGCACTGGACTCCCACATGGGCAACTGTGGTTGGAGTCCAGTGCCAGACACATGGGCATGCATACCCAAAATCCCAGGGGGAGAATGGAGGAGAAGGGATTGCAGTGTGGCCGTCCTCTCTAGGGATTGATTTCTCACTTTCCTTCCATCTCTTTCTGGCAAACATATGCACCTTAAGGCAAACATCTATAAAACAAATAAATCTCACTCTTCTGGGGGGGCCTGATGTTATCATGCACCAGCTTTGATACTTTGGTGAGCCCCATTGCATCCTCAGCACCCACTAAAGGCAAATCGTATTTCCACATTTTTGTTGATAAAGAAATTGAAGACAAAGTATTAAGTAAATTCTCTGAATCAACATTGCTTAAGGTAAGTGATTGTGAACCTACAATTCCAGGACATACCTATAAAGGTCAATTTCTTCTGGCACCATAACCTTTTCCATTTAATTTTTTGTGTTTCCCAAAGGAAAGCCCAATAAATAGTGCACTGAACCTTATTCAGATTCCAGAAAACTCAAACAATAAATAGAGATCAAATGAAAGAGGGCCGACTTTACAGCCTGGTGGTTTGTAGTCAAAACCAATCATGTAGTTTAAGTGGCTTGTGGCTTGAAAAACACACTAGGTATGTGTGAGTGTTCAAATTCCTGACAGAATGGATAGATAGAGGGACTGTGGTGTGAGCATACCCCAAGGGTTGCTTTCTCCCTTGCCCTCTGTCTCTTTCTCTGGCAAGTACATGCACCTTCTGGCCAAAAATGGACAAAAAATTAAAAAAGAAAGAAAAAGAAAAAGAAATTAAGTTGGAGGCCAGAAGGTGGCATAACGGTTAAAAAGCTGGACTCCCACATGGCCGACTACAGTTTAAGCCCAGTCACAGCACTTTGGCCGACTGAAGTTTGAGTCTCAGTCACAGCAGTTGAAACTCAAGCCAGGCACCTGTGCACATATGCCCAAAATCCCAAGAGGAAAATGGAGGAAAAGGATTTTGGTGTAGCCAACCCTACAACTCCCCCCCACACCCCACCACGGGAGGTATGTGATTTTTCATTTTCTCTCTATCTTTGTGTCTCTGGCAAGCACACACACCCTATAGCAAACATCTCTCTTAAAAAAAAAAAAACAAAAAAAGGAAAAATCAAGTTGCAAGACAAAATATCAGCATTTGTTTTGCCCAAGCCAGTTTGAAAAGTAAATGTAAGTGCCCTCTAAACACAAACCCAGAATTGGCCACACTTACTAATCTAGTCACATCAGCACACACTCAGATGACCTCCCACTTAGGAGCCCTGTGTTTTTGCCATGGGAGAAAGGACAGGAGGACATGTTTCCTGCAAGTAGACTCACACTCAAGAAAGAGGAGAACAGACTTTGCCAACCAAGTAAAGTACTCTGTCATCTCCCTTGGGTACACTGAGTAAGGGGGGGTGGGGGGGGGAAATGGCCCAGCAGAAGCACCAGGAGTGGGGCAAGGGTTACTCCTACACATAGTGCCCATGGAAGTCACTAAGTGGAAACAGCCCTGTGCTTCCTCAGAAAGTTCAACACAGAATTACCCATGATCCAGCAATTTCACTCCTAGGTGTACACCTAAAGGAGTTAGAAACAAGGACTCCAACAGGTATTTTGTACACCCATGTTCATGGCAGAATTATTGAAAATAGCCAAAAGGTGAAAACAAACCAAATATCCATCAACCGAACAGATAAACACATTTCTCAGCATAGCTCCATCTCTTGTCATGAATTTTTCTTGAAATACTGTGTACCTGGACCCTTCTAGAAACAATAACAACCAGTGTACACCTTATGCATGACAAAGCCAACACCAATGTTGGTAAGGTACTCTTTAAGGTGATTTAATCTTTGAAGCTCGTAGCCTTTACATTTTTGCTGTATTTGCAGTTTTCGAGTTAAAAATCACAGCAAGAAGTCATCTGAGTTTCAAACAGATGAGTTTTTGAGGCTCTTGCTTACTTTAAACAGAGACAGAGTGGTAGCTGACTCTCACAGCTTAGGTTATCATAATCTCCTCCACCCCTGTATGTTACCCAAAGGACATTCACACACAGAAAGTCTCTCCAATATTCTAGCAATTCACTCTCACAGCTGAAGTGGCCAGGAAGAACACACATGCTGAATGGTTTCTCCTGTGTAATGGGCCTAGATAGTAATCAGTTGAAAAGCTTCAGGATAAATGAGACCTCAACCACCAGACACCCTCACCCATCTTTGCTTTGGTGAGAAAATCATTTCAAAAGAACTTGTAGTCCTATGTCACTCCATCAGTGACCAGGAAATGCAAACCTCCTGGCTTTGAGTTCTCCCATTACTCATACCTAGCCTACTTGAAGTTGGATGGTTTCATATTCTGTCTTCTATTTAAAGTTTCTGAGGTAACAGGACTACTTTTTAATAAATGGAGACCCTGCTGCCTTCTGATTTGTTCTATTTCTAATGAGATCTCTTTGCATCTGTTAATGCAAAACTAGAATTCTTCTTCCACCTTAGCTGTTTGGAAACAGCTTTTCTTTTTTTTTTTTTTTTTAGGTTTTTGCCATAGGGCACATGTGCTCCGGGGGAGAGAGAAAGGAAAAGTGAGAAATCGTCTCCCCAGGGGGGATGACCACACTGCAATCCTTTCTTCATTCTTTCAGGATTTTGTCCACACATGCACAGACACCAGGTGTGATTTTTCAAGCTGCAAAGTATGGAACTTCAAACATGGTTGGCCATGTGGGAGTCCAGAACCTTAACCACTACACCATTCACTGGTTTCCAAGACCTTTCATTTTAAAACTGAAAGCAAACACAAAACCAAAAAATTAACACTTCTTGTTCCCTTTTTTTCCTCTCAACATAAAGGATCTGAACACTTCAAATATTTTTTAAAAGAGTTAGGGACCAGCAGTTAGCGTAATGGCTATGTTGCTGGACTCCTACATAGGCAACCACAGTTCGAGTCCCAGACCTGGTGGCTTAAACTCACGCCGGGCACGTGTGCGTGCATGCCCAAGATCCTGAGAGGAGAATGGAGGAGAAGGGATTGCGGCGTGACCATCCCTCCTGGGGAGTGATTTCTTGCTTTCTGTCTGTCTCTCTCTGTCTCTGGTGAGCACATGTGCCCTATAGCAAACAACTCTCAAAAAAAAAAAAAAAAAAAGAGTTAATAATGTCATATTTAAAAGGTTTCTAAAAGGCTAGCAACAAAAATTGAAACATTGTTCCCTCAGTTAATAGTAATAGTCCTTGTTTTATACTGATTTATGGGATCCCAAAAATGACCGCACCAACTGAAATCATACCAAGCGATCTTAATAATTGATGGAGTACTTTATGATTGTCGAAGGATCTTCAAAAATTTTTATCAAAGCATCAAAATGTCTCTTACTGTTGGTTATAAATGTATAGGGCAACAACAACAAAAAAAGCTGTAAACTAATATTTATTACACTGTAATTTATTTTTTTAAAGAATCATTTATTAATTATTATTATTATATATTATTATTATTAAAATCTGCCAAAGGATACATACACTCACTAGAGAGAGTGAGAGAGGGAGGGAAAGTGAGAAAGCAAGCTGCCAGGTCCAGGACTGAAACTGTGGTGGCCCACGTGGGAGTCTAGCGCTTTAACCACCATGCCACTTGTTGACCCCAACACACTGCAATTTAAAACATTAAGCAAATTGCAACTTAAGTGCTTTCTTTGTAGAAAACTTAATCATTTGAACAGTGCCGCCTTGATTTTGCAGTGTAACTTCAGATATGCAGTGAGCATCTTCCTATAGCTTAGTAATACCCTTAGTTATACTCCCTTGATTTTGGATCAGTCACCAACATTTCATCCTTTCAGCTTTCAATGTCATGAAATTTTGAGACTTTCTTTAGTTTGAAATGTTCTTATTTTTGTTTTTGCTGGTGCCACTTCCTCTGGGATGCATTCCTTTTTATTGGGTTGTTGGAAATTTTATGTGATATTTTTTCTGTTTTTTGCATGCAAAAATGCATCATGACTCTTCTGACAGCCCAACATAACAACTGCCATTCTGCTTGACATCTGCACTAAGGTACCCTGGCTTCCTGGCTAGCCTTTCTTGAATGGTGCAGGGACATCATGTCCCATCAACTATCTCTTTGGTAGCTTCACCCGTGATTCAAATTTCACTTCTACCATTATTGATTTCTATTTCTAAGCTACACTTTTCACTTTGCTACTAATTCTATTGTCTACTGTTGTACAATGGCAACAACATGGAATCATTAGGGACAGGAAGGTCACAGATCTATAAGTTTAGCTGCCTGTGTGTAAACCAATAAAAGAAGCACAGAGGCTTATCTATGACAGAATCAGAAAAATATGGCATAACTGGTCAGAGATCACGATGCACATCTGTTATTGGTGCAGTGGTTTTATCGTGGACTAAGAGCTCGCAATCAAGTTGGTGCATTTTACAAACACTCATGGTTAATTTAACCAGATAACTGAAATTTGAGCCATGCTGTCAGAGCACTACTGTTAGTTAACCAATCTTTGGTAACTGAATTCATACTTACTGG